ATTAAAGCATGTGAATCAGAGACTTCTTCCAGGGACTCTTTCCAAACAAATCTGATAAAATTCCTGAGAACTGGAACAAATCCCAATATTGACAGACTCATATTATCAGGGGTAGAAAGCTAACAGCATGGTCACTACATTCCACTAGACTGCTAAATAAGAATAAGAAGCACATTAAAATATTTTCACATGTCAAAGAACATAACTTTTTCAGAAAGCTGCTTCTAGTTTATACGCCATAAATTTGCCTCTAAGAATTCCTTCCTAGAACCTGGCTCTTAAATTTGTCTCTGAACAATCTGTGACACTGCCCTGCCCCTTATTCTCTAATCGCTTTGGATTTCTCTTTGGTAACATATAAAAGAAATCAATGTACAATTATAATTTATACCAAATCAAAAAATTAATGATTACATAAAAAACTAGAACTACTTGTCTTAATCCAAACAATCCTTCAGTTTTAAAGTTTCTGAGGGAACAAAAATTAAACTTTAGAAAGGAATAAAAATTAAACTTTGGAAAGGAATAAAAGTAACACTGATAGCCTATAAAGATTTCAAACTTTATTTGGCAAAGACGTACTTGGTGAGTTTTTTGGAACTCATCACTGATTTATTTCCCTATTCTACACACCCCAGCTGAACACTTTTAACTCATTTGATGCTTCAAAGGTCTAAGCATAGAAAATACCATAATAAAACTGTTTTTCAACACTGGCAATAGTTTCTTCTCTTTTCAAGTTTTTTTTCTTTCTTTTTCCCTTTTTTTTGTTTTTTTTTGGTGGTTGTGGTACTGAGTATTGAATCCAGAACCACTCTACCACTGAGCTATATTCTTAGCCGTTTTTATTTTTTATTTTGAGACAAAGCCTTGCTAAATTGTCCAGGCTGGCCTTGAACTTGTGATTCTCTTGCTTCAGTCTCACAAATACTGGAATTACTGGCATGAGCTGCTACACTCAGATTATCTGCTTTTCTTAAACTAACAATAGCAAAAAAGTATCTTCCTGAGTTCAGCACTCTGCAATGTTTAAAATATCCCAAAATAACAACTTTGTAATGAATAGCTTCTATTTTAAGTCAGATACTATATGTATTTTTCATATCATAGTATTTCTGAAAATTATATACAAGTTCTCACGTATGTGTTTAATATATCTTTCTTCCCTCAAAAGAAGTTGTTTTTAATTCCAAAGTATGTGAGCAAGGCAGGTTATATGAAGTATGCTAGATATTCCTAAAAAAATTTTTAGATCTGCAAAAAATTATAGAAAGCACAAATACCTTATTTCTCAAAAAATCTTGTAGAAGAAGTAAAACATCCTATTGCTACCCTATTGTTAATCACTTAATGTGTATTTCCCTATCCATCTAATCAGTAAGGATCACAAGATAATGCACAAGAAGTGGTGGGTCAGGGAGTTTGGGAAGCAACAAAGCTGTATACACTGAACTATTAATTCAGTAAGGTTTTGAAGGCGATGACTTCTCAAATAGTTAAAGCTATAATGATAATTCCAACAAAAAATTAAAGAATTAACAATGTAGTTCAATGTTTTAATAAAAGCAAATACAGAACTACAGTTGGAGCCCAGCAATAGAGCACTTGCCTAGTATGAGTCCATAGATTTGATCCTCAGCACTGTAAAAAAGAAAAAAGGGGGGCAGGGATACAGCTCAGTGGCACAAGCACCTGCCTAGCAAGCATGAGGTTGAGTTCAATCCCCAGTACCAAAAAAAAAAAAAAAAAAAAAAAAAAAAAGGAAGGCATATAGGAAAGGCTCCTAACCCTTCTTTATATAAATGTTCCATGGACGCTTCTGGTCAGAAATAACATCCTCTGATGTCACAAATAATGGATTCTGTGTTGTAAGTGTTTAATAATACAGAATATAAGGCAAATACACCTCTTATTATCTTTTTTTTTTTTTGTCTTTTTCCTTTTTATCGGTACCAGGGATCGAACTCACAACTGCCTGCTTGCAAGGCAGGTGCTTATGCCGCTGAGCTAAATCGCCAGCCCCACTTTTTTTTTTGATGGCGAAGTGTAGCGGGGACAAGAGAAGAACAAAAGGCCAAGAATGATTATAAGAATGTATAACTGAAAAGACTAAAAGTAAGATAAAATTTTTTTTTATCCTGAGTACAAGTTTTAAAAGTAAGATAAATTAATGAATAGTATAAACTCTGGTTTTGACATACTTTACTTCAAACCTGGAACTGTAGCATAATTGGCTATGTGAGTTGTACTTTGGTATCTAACTTAAGCCTTGGCTCTTATTTACAATCAACAACAACCTACTCAAAGGGATATTGTAAAACTGAAATGGGATAGTATATATTTGTATGTCTAGCTATCTTAATTACTTTCCCCACTAGACTATAAGTTACAGAGGTCAGCAACCATGAATAGTATTTTATATACTACTACCTAGTAAGTCTTTGGCAAAATGCTTGGCACACAGATATGCAGTAAGTGTTGACAAAGTGTTTTACTATGAAAATTTCAATTACAATACCTTGAGCTCAATACAACATTATAAATTTGATAGCATTATAGAGAGATCAAAGATTCCTATTAGGGCTGGGAATTTAGCTTAGTGGGTTGGATACTTGCCTAGCATGGACAAGGTCCTGGATTCAATCCCACCAACAAGGGGAAAAATGATTATTACTTGTTTCATTATAAAACATTTGTAAAATCAGCATCTTTCCTCCATTATATCAATCATATAGCCTTCCAAATTTGACCAAAAACAAACATTCAGAAATAGTATTGCCCTAGGAAATACTACAGAGTTAAATCTACACTCCAAGGAAGGAGTACATATATTTTTCCTCTCTCCAAAAAGCATTTTTCAACCAGGGGTGGTTTTTGTCTCTAGTGAACCATTTGAAAATATTTAGAGATATCTGGGATCGAACCTAGTCGGCAGAGGGCAAGAATACTGCTAAACATCCTACAAGATACAGGAAAGCTGCTACAACAAAGAATTACCTGCTTCAAAAAATCACTACTGCTGAGGTTGAGGAGGCAAAGGCATTAAAAAAGTAGAAAGCTGGGCAAAAATATAAAACTGCATAAACATTTTAATTAGGATTAGGCTTAACATTATCAGTTCCTATTATTGCAATTTACTTCTTGTTGCCCAGATTTAGTTGTCCATCTGTCTGTCTGTCCGTCTTCCTTTGGCTGTACTGCATATTGAACCCAGATGCTAGGCAAGCCCTCTAACACTAAGTTACACTCCCAGCCCAAGTTCTGGATTTTAAGAAGTTTAAAGGAGCCCAGATTTGGTTTTTTTTTTTTTTTTTTGTCTAAAACACATCCCTGATTAAGAATTTCTCTGAAATTTCAGGCCAATGAAAATACAAAAGTTTCCAATAGTTCAGAAAAAAATAAAGTATATAAAAACGCTTATCTTCAAGGTTTGTAAACAAATTCTAATCTTTCTAAGAATGTAGTCACATCAAGCTGAAAGGAAACAAGATGCGTATGGCTTGTATTTAGTATTATTTTATTAGTACACTGGTGTGAAAAGTACAAATGAAGGCCAGGTGTGGTGGTGCATGCCTGTAATTCCAGCACTTGGTGGGCTGAGGCAGGAGAACTACAATAGGTTTGAGAACAGCTTAGGCTATACAGTAAGATCCTGTCTCAAAAGACTAAAAAACAAAACAACCAAACAACAACAACAACAACTCAGAAACCAAACAAACAAAAAAGCCCTACAAATCAAATTTAAATGCTATTAATTGTATTTATTCATATATGTGTAGTGGAGCATTTTGCCACTTAATTTCCTTTTTTTTGTACCAGGGATCAACTCATAACCTTTCTCTTGTCTGGCAGGCATTTATGCTGCTAAGCTAACCCTGGCCCAACTTCCTTTTTTGATGCTAAATTTTTTTATCAGTATTTCCTATTTTATTATTTCTGCTTCATATTACATACACATTAATAAACTATTAAAAATTTTGACAAATCTAACCTATGACAGTGAAAATGTACATACCAGTTACTGTAAGAAATAGAATCATTAAGTAGAGGTAGATGAAAACAGATAGTAAGTAGCTGGTGTTATCCTTTTTTTCTTTCTTTTTTTTTTGTTGGTACCAGAGATCAAATTTATGCTGTTGTACTTGCGAGGCAGGCGCTTGTGCCGCTGAGCTAAACCCCCATCCCCTGATGTTATACTTTTTCTTGATTATCTTTTAGAGTAATATTCATCTTTATTCTCATCTGAGGAAAAACAGTACCATCAAAATGTAATAAACTGGCTGGACATGGTAGTACACACCTGTAATCCCAGCACTTGGGAGGCTGAGGCAGGAAGATTGCTCTAAGTTCAAGACCAGTGTGAGCTACAATAGAGAATTCAGGGGGGCTAGGGATTTAGCTCAGCGGCATAAGTGCCTGCCTTGCAAGCAGGCAGTCGTGAGTTCGATCCCTGCTACCGATTAAAAAAAAAAAAATGAAAAAAAGACAAAAAAAAAAAAAAAAAAGAGAATTCAAAGGTAGATTGAACTACACAGTGAGACCCTATCTCAGAAACAAAACAAAACAAAAAAACCAATAAACTATTTTAAAATTTAATTTTTGAGAGTATCTAGTAAAGCTACTGTTTGAGGTTTTTAGCTGAGGTAATAAAGAGGTTTTATATAGTATAAAGGTGCCTTTAATCTAGAAAATTCTATCATATTTGAAGAAATCTTGGTGTTAATTTTTATATTAAAAAAATCTTTTTTATATTAAATTCAAGAGCAATTCTTATCACATATGCAAATGCCTTGAGTCTGAAAAGTAGGATAAAAATCCTGAACTGTCCACTAAAAATTTTATTTCAACCAAAAAACAAATTTAATAGCTACAAGTCCTTCAACAGCATCTGAATGACAATAATATTTTTCTAAGTTGATATTTTACATTTAAAAAATCCAGACAATTATTTGTGCATGTCCTATTTGGCCACATAATTTAAGTTTTCAAAGTGATCATACCTCTTCAATACCAGCTATATTATTTACTGCCAGTTTTTTCAGAGAACTCTGAAGCTTTTTGTCATCAGCTGTTGCTGTTCTATGTACCACCTTCTTCTTTCTGCGAGCTGTACCCTGAAAAATAATCAGAAATGTTAGCATGCTTAGCAACCAGCAACAACAATCACATCTTCCTATCATAATAATCTAATTAAAGTATAAAAAAAGTAATGATGAATAAGCCTACTCAGAGTTGTGATTGTCAGCCTAACCCAGGTTTTTGAAGTTCAGTTTTAATTCTCTTTTTAACCCAGTTATTTTTTGTTAGTACATGTTTGCAGTACATAATTATTATACTCCCTGCATGGAGTTGATACATGTACATAACACATCTCAATTCTTCCACTCCCCTCCGCCATCTCTTGGTCTCTTTTCTTTCTGCAAAAGATCTCCCTTTACTCTATATTTATATTTGAGTTTCTCATAAAAAGAGGTACCATGCTATATGTATTTAAGCTTGTGTGTCTAATTTATTTCACTTAACATTTTGGTTTCAAGGTGCATCCATTTTCCTATAAATGACTCTATTGTATATAAATACTATATTTTCTTTATCCATTCAACTGTTGGTGGGCATTTGGGTTGTTTCCAATATTTAACTACTACAAACTGTGCTGCTGTAAACATGATTGTGCGTATATCACTGTAATATGGTATCTTTAACTGCTTCAGGAAAATAAGGGAGGAATAACCACTTCTTTCTCTTATTCAATATCTAACCTTTATTATTTCAACACATGATGTTTCAAAATATTGTTTGCTAATAAAATATACTTTACAACTTCAAGACAACTTGGCATACTTTATTTATTTATTTATCTCGTTTTTTTTGAGACAAGGTCTTGCTATACAGTTCAGGCTGGTCTTGGGCTCACTTTGTAGCCCAGGCTGGTCCTGAACTTTCAACGGTCCTCCTGCCTCAGCCTCCCAAGTACTGAGATTACAAGAGTGCACCATCACTCCCACTATTTATTTATTTATTGGTAGTGGGGCTCAAACTCACAACCTTGCTCTTGCCAGGAGGGCGCTGTGCCACTGAACTACATCCCCAGCCCTATGTAACAATTCTTAAACATAATGTACAAAGCAGCCCTTACTATTACTATAAAGTCTAGATAGTAACAAATAATGTCTACTATATGAATGCTCTCTACTGTCTAAGACTGCAGGAATGAAAAAGATCCAGTTCTTATATTACAGTAAGAGTGAAGTCAATACAATGCATAAACAAATTATGTTATTTTAAACAGGAAAAAGGCTATTATGAAACCAAAACAAAATGAAAACAAGAATGCATAATTAAGAGTAGATGAATACAAAGCACTATTTTATTACAATGATCAGGAAGGCTCCCTGAAGAGATAACATACGTGTTGAGATCTACAACTAGTGGAAAAGTGATCTAAGCAAAATGAAACAAGATTGAATTTGTCCTTTTTTTTAGAAAGAAAGAGCAGCTCAGTATGTTAGAGCAGAATGAATAATGGGAAAGGAAGAGTAAAAGTGAAATCAGAAAGACAGATTAGGGCCAGATCACCTAGCCTAACACCAGAGTTGGATTTTATTCTAATTGTAACAGAAACCCTTTCAATAGTTTTAAGTATGCAGATGACTTGATCTATTCATTATGACTAAGTTGCTGTGGGGAAAACTATGAGGAACAATCAAAAGGCTCCTATAGCAATCCTGGTGAGAGACGAGGATTGTGGTAAGAGAAAATACTGAGGTGTCAATTTGCAATAAAAGACATGATTTCTGATGGATCAGACATATGAGGAAAAGAATCTAAAATAATAAATTGAATTGTTGGGTTAATTTAAAAAAAAAATACAACCTAAAGTAGAATTCAAACAAAACCAAAAGCAAAAGCAACTCCTGAAACTATCTGGGCACATGTAGTGGCCCAACATTCAGGAGGCCAAAGTAAGAGGACTGTTGTGAGTTCAAGGCCACTCTAAACTGCATAGTAAGATCCTATCTCACGGTAGCAATAAAAAAGAAAAAAAAAATATATCCTATCTCAAAAAACAGAACAAAACTTCCTGAAACCAGGAGGGAGAGGAAAAGAATGAGAGTTTTAGTCTTTGGTTAGTTACTGTAGTACTCCTCTTTGAAGAAAAAAAAAAAATTACGCTTTAGTCTCAACAAGTCCAATGCAAGAGCTCTGGCAACAGAGGTTGTAAAGACAAAGCGGTTGTTGGGAGAATAGTTATTTACATGAATGGTCATGTAACTGGGAAGCATTCCTGACTTGTATAACTCAATTCCTTGCTATACTCTTCAACTCAAATGATCCTTAGGTACTACAAATACTGTATGTCTAAAGGGTTATCAGTCCATCAATTTTTCATTTCTTAAGATGTGTATCTGATACCCACATAAACCATTTAAGACCAGTTTCTAAAACCAGAAGTCTGGAGGTTATCCCACACTTTCTATCTTCATCTCTCATACCCATGTCAATTCTAACCCCTAGATTTGTGTCCCATATTGTATAGCAACAGCGTCTTAATTCTCTACGGTAAACTTCCACTTCATTACTTTTTCCACATTGCCAGCAGTTACTGTTCATTACTGGCATCATGACCTTCTTAAAACTCTTTCATAATTTCTCACTGCCTGTAACATAAAATTCCAAGCTCCTCAGTATGCCATATAAAACTATGACAGACCCCCTAAATTATCTGGTCTTTTGACTTGCTACTATTTTCTATACATTATGTACTCTACACTTTAGCTTTACCAAACTAAAGTAAGCCATTCCGTTAAGCATCAAGTTATCTCAGTACCCTATGTGCTTTGCATGTGTGGGAATGACAATCCCCCTTTTATCTCCTGGGAAGTCTCTCATCTGTCTAATGATAAAACTCTTGTTTATCCTTTAAATCTCAGCCTGCATCCCTTAGGCAAAAGCAACTTGTACTTCGTTGTAATAGTTGACTATTCTTCATTATAATTACGAGCATTTCTCTCTTCCAAACTCAACTGCATCAGAGGCAGATCTTGTTTACCTACTATGAACTGGGCACATGGTGAGTGCTCAATAGGAAATAACTGAATGAATGACCAGCCACTGGTCTAGAATACAGTAGTGATAAATAGCATGGAGTCTTTCTAGGTGTAGCGTTCTTGAGTATCTCTAGTTTTTGTATTGCTGTGTTACATCACACTTGGGGCTACAAAGTGACTACTTTGATTACATGAATGTATTAATATGATTCTAGACTCACCTACTATATCACTATGAAATGAAAAAATGCTTGCCTCTTCCTCTTTCCACCTTCCAGTCTCCATCCCCAGTTGTGGTTATCCTCAATGTAAACGATACAGTGGGATTTGCTGTCCTATCTACTATCTTTCCCCCAGATCTGAGGTAAATAACCTTTTCCTTTTCACTTTTTAAAAACTTTTTTTTCCAGTTTTTCCAAACATATTATTTATAGCCAATGCTAGTCTAAAACCAAAAGTGATCCTTCTGCCACCTGAGTACAGGGATTACAGGGATGCACCATGTATTTTCAGCTCCCTTTCACTTTTGCAAACATCATAGTAGGCAATAATAAGGGTAGAATATTCTCCTTGAGGATGGGGCCATCGCTGAAGAGAAGTAAGATTTTTGGTGTCTAGAACAAGTACTTCCTTAGAACTTAAAGTATACAGAATAAGAAAGCTTACGTTCACATTCACTAACAAAGAACAGATCGAAATTTGGAAGACAGGGGCTAGGGATTTAGCTCAGCGGCATAAGCGCCTGCCTTGGAAGCAGGCAGTCGTGAGTTTGATCCCTGGTACCGATAAAAAGACAAAAAAACCCCAAAAAACAAATTTGGAAGACAAATTTGACACAATACTATATAAATCATTTTTTTAAAAACCTTTTTTTTGGGGGACTGGGGATTTAGCTCAGTGGCATAAGCACCTGCCTTGCAAGCAGGTGGTCATGAATTCAATCCCTGGTACCGATAAAAAAAAAAACTTTTTTGGGAGGGGGGGTCATTGGGGATCAAACTCATGACCTCATGCTTGTCAGGCAGGCACTTATTCCACTGAACTGGCCCAAAACACTATATAATTGTCTAAATCATTTCCAGATAAATCTCTTGTGAACCTAACTATACCTGTAGGTTCATTCAGTCAAGGTAAGGAAACTAACAACTAGCATACCCCGCAGGTGAGCCTGCCACAATAGCCATCATTTATTTACTGAGCATCTGCACTGTGCCAGATACCACGTTAAGTGTCTTGTAAGTTACTCTAATTACAGAAAGCATTTTTTAGGATTGTTTCTATCTTGCAGATTAAAAAAAAATGGAAGCTTAACAAGGCTGGGTAACTTGTTCATGTTATGTAACTAGCAATTAGGAGTCAAACTCCTAGGCTACTTCTACTGCATAACACCAGAGAGGAAAAGTCTTCAAGGCAAATTATTTTCAAATTGGAATGTGTTTTGATATTGACTATCGAAAGCATTTTTCAATGACCACAAATCCAAAATAATAATATTACATGGTAATTATACATTCTCCTATCAGTTTTTCTTATGCCACACTCACCTTGCCCCCTATCCGGACCTGGGCCTGAAGTTTGGCTAGCTTTTCTTGATTCATGCTGTTGTTAAATCTAGGGGGGGAAAAACAGATTTGTTAAAGTCACTGTTTTATCAAAATTAAAAAACTGTTTATGCAAACAGTATCTTCTGGTTCACTAAGCTTTCAGTATGCATTAACATCATGATTATATTAATAACTGTATTCTTAACAAATATTAACAACTTACTCAGTTTCATAAATAAAGATATCTAAAAATCAAAATTGAATACCCCAAAGTTATCAAACACATGAACAGAAAAAACAATGGGATTCTAAGTCACTTATCAAATATTCCTCCTAAAAACATGATTCAATTCTTAGGTATTAAGTAGAACCTAACCAATTATGAAACCTCTGTAGGCAAACCAGTTTTTAAAAATTTTTACAGCAGAGAACTGTTACCAAATGTTATTAGCAAACCTTCAAGTACATCATCTCACAAATCACATTCTGCATCTCTTATAAACTATTCAGATGACAAAAAAAAAAAAAAAACAGGATAGAAAAAAAATTCAACAGTAAGCTGTCTAGCTGTCAAGATATAAAAGCAGTCATGTCCTCTATTCAAGGTCAGATGAGGTGCTAATAATGGGGAAACAGAACAAGATTTCCAGATAGTGCTTCTGCAGCACTCCAGTATTCACCCAATATCGTGTGGTGACAAAGTGTATCACACTTATCAAAGCATAAAGGGTAAAATGCCTCACTGCACAATTTGACCAAAGTATATTTTAATTGTATTAATTACTAAACTTGGGGATGCTTAAAAATAAGCTTTTTATAGCTCTTGATTCTAAGAACATTATAAAACCACAAATTTCAGTCTGGTCAATGGTAGTTCTACTAAGGGAAACATTCTGTAGTTTATAATGAATCTTAACATTCTACATTATACAAACAAAAGCCAATTTAAGCCAGGCATGATGGAGGATGTCTATTAATTCCAGTCACTTGGAAGGCTGAGGCAAAGGACTGCAGAAGTTCCAGGCCAGCCTGGACAACTTAAGAGATACCCTGTCTCAAAATAAAAAGTTAAAAAAGGGAAAAAGGGATGGCTCAATGGAAAAGTGTCCTTGTTTCTATTCTCAGTAGCACCACCACCAAAGTCAACAAAAAAGAAGCCAACTTAAAAGTCCATTAAAAATCTTGTTCAACTCGTTCTGTCTGTGGCTCAATAAATCAATTCTGAGATGTGAGGGAGGGAATTAAGAGACAGCCCATTAAACATTTTTTAGCTAATTCTCTAACTCCTGATGAACATTTCAGATGAAAAAAGATACTGTTTTCGAGAGATGAAAAAAAGAAAATCCAAGATTATATAATTACTAACCATTCTGTACCGACACTAACCTGTATATATCTTGGCTTTAAGGCCAAAGTCCAGTTCCCAAGTAACAATCAGAATCTGATTTCTCTTTGTTCAGCATTGTATCTCAATGCTCATGCAGCTGAAAACATTTTTATGAGAATGGTGTTTAGTGTGCAAAACAAGTATAAGGTGTGTACCAATCTTAGTTCTGCCACAGAATTAAATCTGATTATGTAAATCCTAATCTTTTTATCCAAATATCCACGGAAAAGGATCAATATTCGCTTTTCTCAAAGGAATGTGTCCATAAAGGTGCAGTCAACTAACAAAGAGTTTAAGGAATTTATTGCAAAAAGGAGGCTAAGTGAAAATACTAGAACTAAACACCGGGTAAACTCTTTGGGACTCTACTGCATTTTGAAGTAATAATTCCCAAAAGAAGAGCTGGAGGTTGTTAAGACAAGACAGAGTCCTGACTTGTTTGAAACAGAAGAAAGAACAAAAGTATCTCTTTAAATCAATGTGTAGATGAAAGGACAGTTTCTGTTCAGGTGGTAAGGACAAGAGAATTGAGGTGTCTTCTAAAAAGCATCTTAGGGAGGTTAGATGCTAATGGCAGTAGGTGCCCAAGTGTGGTCTTTTGTCTATTAGTAAGTTGGTGTGTGTGGAATTCCAGCAGGAAAAAGGTTTGGATTCAGTATGAGAGAAGAGATGTCAAGCCCAGAATCTGGGAGCAGATCTCAAAGATCACCTTACTTAATTCTCTATTCTTCAATCTTTATTGTATTTTTCATTCCTGTCCTAAATGTGAGGCCATCACAAATACCTGGTAGCAGTAGGACATCAATAAAAGTTCCTCCTTCCCAATTTAATAGAAAATGAGGCTTCTTTCTATCATCAAAGGAGTAACTTCCTATAGCCACATGATTAATGAATGCTTCCTTGAGGATTCAAGGATCTTTCAGCATTTTCCTCATGGACTCAAGAAAGGGTGTAATGAGGTTAATACAAATTGAGTGCCTAACTTCCAAGCTCTGCCATTAGGCACTTTCACTTGCATCACATTTTACACAGGAATAAAAATAATTTGAACGTTCAGCCTGACTTTTTCTGATGTTTCTCTACGATAAGCACGGAGTGTGAAATGAGTAAGACCAAGCACCATTTAAGGTTTCGCAAAGTTTACTTCTTTGAACTTGTGATCCTCTGGCATTAGAAAAGCTGTATTACTACCCACATAAGGTTGTTTTGAGAGTTAAAGGTCACAGGGCACAGCTCTCAAAAAGATACTCAGTAAGTAGTAATTATTGTTTACTACTTGCGAAGGAACAACTAAAATAGTGTAAAAATGTGGGACGGTAATTGAAACCACCATTCACTAGCTGTGTAATACTGTGGCTGTCCAGCAATCATCAGGCAGTATCTCAAAAGGGAAGACACACTTTGTAAACAGATACTGCCATTACAAGGTGAAGAGCGCTGCAACCAAGTTTGGTCCCAAGAGCTTGGGGCCAGAGTGCTAACTTCAGTCCCCAGTCTGCAGACTGGGAGGATCAAAGGAGATGCCATCAGAAAAGCTGTATAAAGCTCAAAGCTTATGACACTGTTGCTGTGAATAACAAGGGGTAACGGGACGGGGAGGGGGATCCACTCGCCTCGGGATGGCGCCGGGAGGCCACAGAGCCGGCCCGCCCGCCCATAGTGGGCGGTGGTGCAGGGGACCCTCCCTCAGGTGCAGACCCCCAGCTGCGCCGCCGGCGACCCACAGGCCGAGCCGGCCGCCTCCGTCCCCACTCGCAGAGCCGCGGCGGAAGTGGCAGCCCGAGCGGTTGGCTGGTGGCGGGAGAAGAGGGCGGGGGAAACATCATGCGCAGCGGCCTATGGCCGGGGAGTGGCGGGACCGCCGGGGGTCTCACCTGAAGCAGGGAGGGTCTTCCAACACAAGCACGCGGCAAGAGCAAGATGGCTGCCTCGGCCAAGACAGAGAAAGACGGCGGCGGTGGCGGCGGCGGCAGTGGCGGCGGCGGCGGCAGCGGTGGCGGCAGCAGCAGCGGAGCCCACGTGACTTCACGGTCCCGCCCCCCTCCCGGCGGCCAATCCCGTGAACACACAGCCGAACTACAAAGCCCAGCCTGCTCCGCGCCTCCCAATATTTCTATTGGGGGCGGGAGCAGATTTGAGTTGCATCCCAGAGCTTGCAGTCCGGTAAAGCATTTCATTGTGGTCGGTTCTTAAGGTTTGTCCGGAACCCGATGAAAGGACAGCGTGTGATTTTTTTGGGTGTGTGCTTTTGTTAGGATGTCTTTCAGTATGCGTTAAATTCGCACTGTTGGGATTCAAACCAGTACCCGAAGAAAGACGGGAGATTTTACCTGCTGCTTGCTGTACAGCAAAGTAGACAGAACTAGGAAGAAATACATACAGCAAAAATAAATATTTAACTGGAAGAACCTATATACTTTAAATGCCTAAAGTGACTTATGCCCCTATTCCCTTGCTTTTAGTCATATTGCAGTAAGAGGTCTCAAATCTGACTTTCTTGGAGCTTGCATCAGTTCGTTGCATCATCCCCAAGTAAGACTAGCGGTTGCAAGGATGGTAAGGTCTGGCGATACTCCAGCGGTAGAGTACTTGTATGCCAGGCACGAGATCGTGCGCAGCAGAAGGGATATCGAAGAGACTTGAACAGGCAATGAAATCCGGCTGTCCAGTCTTTTGAGGAAGGAGAAGGGGAATTCAAGACCAATGGACGAGCAGACCACTTTTGAAAGAGGGCCACTTCAACGATCAATAATCTGCCTTTTGAATATAATATTCAGTGGCGCTTAGGGGGTGGGGCTAGTCTGACTAGCGAATCAACAACTATTCTGCCAAATCGCTCCCTGTCCTCACTACCTTGGCCCACCTTTTCCTCTCTGCCCCGGGACCTGGAACCCAGGTGCGGAAGAAACCAACTCGAGCTTGAAATCGGGCACTTGACTCTTCTACGTGATCTGCACCTTTAAACTCTTTTCATCTCTAACTCGACCCCGGAGGCACCACCCACATCCGTCTAACATCACTTCCTTCAGAGTTTGGGGGAGAAAAAAATCTAGGAAAGCGAAGGATTGGGCTGATCCGCGCTTGAAGAGCAAGCGGACCTTCTGCTGAATCTCCACCCCTGTGCGGGTTCAGCTGGGTGGCCCTGCGCGCCAACCACCATCGAAATGTGGCCTCGTCTCGGGGCCACCTGTTTGCTGGGCTTCAGTTTCCTGCTCCTCGTCACCGCTGATGGATACATTGGGCTTGGAAAGGGTCAGACCGCGTTCTTATCTTAATCTTTTACTGATCCCGGGCCTCGTCAGAGTATAACCCTCTTCATGCCCTAACACAGACCCCCTCCCTCCTATTCCTTAGGCCACGCCAGATTCTTTTTTATCTTCCCCAACCGCTGCGGGGTAGCTTGAGGATTTGTTGGGGTAAGGAGTAGTGGGTCTGGGGAAGGTTAACACAGGGAAGTTAAACTTGAGACCTCTCAAATAATTAATTATCAGGCTGGGAGGAGAAACAGCCTTTGAATTAGTAAAAGAATGTTAGTGCTAGGCTTCTGAAAGGTCCTCACGAATGGTCACCTTCCTTCTCGGAAGAAATATGGTTGTGGGGGATCTGGGACTCCTGAGCAGGGTCTGAAGATCGTCACTCTTCGAAAAAAGCTAAGTTACTGCCACTTCCTTGCCCTGGGAGACAGCATCCCAAGGAGGTGCACAAGAAAGGGCCAGATGAAGGATAAAAGATTTGCTGTTCACCAACAGTTGTCCTGTGTAGTTCCACTACTGCGTCTGCAGAAACTGTGTTTTTGAGAAGGTATCAGTGATTATGAGTGTAGTTTAGGAGATGTGACCCCTACTCCATCCAATCAGCTCCAATAGCTCTTCATTCTGAGCCTAAACATCTTTCTCCTCACTAAATATTAGTTAAGAATTGGGTTGAAGTCTGTGAACTCAGGGTTTATTTAAACTTGTCTAAGTGGAGTTATAGATGAATCCCAAATCCTCCTCCATTTTCTTATACTTACTATGTGAGATGATTCTACTGCAATTTTGATGTTTTTAATTGTGTTCTCTTATCCTCCATTTTCACATTTATTGGTGTACAGTAATGGGATAATGAGATTGGTTGGACAGTCTGTGAGCCTGAATGTAATCACTCCTTCAGTAATTTTTTTTTTTTTTTTTTGGTACCAGGTATTGAACTCATGACCTGCCGCTTGCCAGGCAGGCGCTATGCCACTGAGTTATAACCCCCAGCCCAATAATTTTTTTTTTTTAAGACATTGTCTTGCTATGTAATTCAGGCTGCCTTGAACTGATGTGTCTCAGGCTGGCTTTAAATTCATGGCAGTCTTCCTGCCTTAGCTTCCCACATGCTGAGATTACAGATGCACGCTACTATGCCCAGGGTTCAGTAAATAATTTTTGACCACCTGTCATATGTCAAGCAGAATCCTCGGCACTGGAGACATCGCAGTGAACATGACAAGCCTGTTCTCATGGCACTTGTATTTGAATCAGTACTGTAGCTCATGAATGAATTAAGACATTTTCAGTTAGAGACACAAAACTGTGATAGAATACGATGAAGGCTGGGAAAGATGAAGAAGTTGGCATAACCTGGGTTAGGAATACCAGGGAAAGGTTTTGTGAAGTGATGTGTGGGTTTGCGGCTCATTGATGAGGCTGCACAGTGAATCCTCTTAGCTCAGAATGTGATCCATACTACTGCTAATCCCATTGTAAAACACTCTACTGTGTGTTTAGAATAAAATTGTAATGAGGAAGACAGAAGAGTATATTGGTGTTAGGATATGGGTTTAGAGATGAGAGTTTTACTTTGTTTTGTTTTGTTTGTCTTTTTGAGACAGATCTCACTGTGCAGTTCAGGCTGGCCTGGGACTCACTTTGTAGCCCAGGCTGGTCTTGAACTTGCAACAATCCTGCTTCAGCCTCCCAAGTGCTGGGATTACAGGAGTGTACCACCTATGCCCAGCAGAGATGTGTTTTAACATGACAGCTGACACTTACCAGTTGAGATACGTTGGGCAAATGGCTTAACCTATCAAAGCCTCCTTTCCTCAGCTGCCAAATGGGAATAGTAACAAACTCAGACCCAAAAGAAAATAGTTTAGTGTTTCAATTACAGTACTGTGTTAGGTGTAGATAGTACCTTAAGAGTTATGCATTCAGTAGCTAGTCCTTAGTAAACTCAGGTGGTTGTTCTAGTTACTGTTGTTGTATAATAAGCTACCCTGAAATTTAGTATTGTAAAGAAATCATTATATTGTGCTCATTGTTTTGTGGATCAAGATTTTGAATGAAAGGAAGGTTTTTTTCTCTTCTAGAATGTATAGGGCCTCTGCTTAGTAGGCTACCTCTCTCCATGTTGTCATTCTGTGTAGCCTAGTGGCTTCCTTACAGTATGACAGCTAGATCCCAAAAGTAGGTGCCACAGGAAAACAAGATGGAGAATGTATGACATTTTTGTATCCTTACACAGTATCACTTTCATTGCACACTGTAGGAATAGGTTGAAAAGTAAGAATGTTAACATTTTACCTCTAATGGGAGTTGTATTGAGGTCACATTTGTAAGAAGAACCTGTGAGATAGGAGATACCATTGCCACAATCTTTGATCAGTATTGTCTGCCATAGTGAGCTAGGACTATTTGTCTTCATGCTGAGAAATATTTGTTCAAAGAGAAATGAATGTAAACATGGTCATGATTCCTGCCCTTTCCCAGACAAGTAAGCAGGCAGTGTCATGACACTATCATATGTATTTTGAGCAGGAAAATAATAGCTAACAGCAGCAGCACACAGATAAGTCCAATGCCGGGGAGTTGGGCTGTGAGGAAAAATATAAGATGCTTGATGAAAAAATCAGTGAAAATGAAAAAAACGAAAGATACAATATTATGTCACATACTTTAAAAAATACTTAGTAAATGTTAACTGGTATTATTTTCCCCAATGGAAAAGTTCTTAATTATTCCTTAAAGGAATTAATATTTTAATTTTTTGTTTTATGTATCTCTTGCATATGGATTCCTGGGACATAGATTATACCCTTCTCATTCTACCTCCCCCACACCCTGCAAGTGCTAGAGGCAATAAGTGGTTCCTGAAGATTTTGATAAGTGAAATTTCTTTCCAGATGTTTTAAGTAGCTCCAACTCCTTTCCTATGATGGCCTGGCAGTTTGCGGAGAGGGGAGATTGAAGTTACCACCCCTGCTACTTCCATTCATATTAATTAGTCAGGTCGTTTAGCTAGCTCTGGCTTTCCCCGGCCATTTAGTACATGAGTTGGACTAGACATACTTCCTAAGGACTCTTTAGCTCTAACATCGTAGGTCTAAAAAATTGTTCTGTGTGAGCTAACAATGTAGAATGGATCACGTATGGGGGAAGGGGAATGACTAACATTTCCTGTCCGCATACCATCTCCTGGATGCTGATCCTTGCATCTTTCATGTTCTGACTAGTTTAAACGTCATCGTAAGAGGGACAGTATTTTTTAGCATCCTTCTCTTCCTCATTTCACAAGTGAACCTAAAATGAGGCACAGGAATCACACTGCTGTTGAGTGGGCTAACTGGAACGCAATTCCAGAGCAGTGTCCTCAACCACCCTCAGCACAGAGGAAGAAGCTAGAAAGCTGTTGTGAGAGGCAGATCATTTGCTCTCCTGTATGAAACAGAAGCAGATGACTGTCAAGTCTTTAGAATAAAACTGGGCACTTAACACTTGGAAAGTATTTGCCTTCCACGGGGTGTCCAATTCTCGTTCACAAAAATCTTATGAGAAAGACATTTTTGTTAGTCGTGTTTTGCATTTATAAATACAGCAGATGACTAAACAAGGATCCCAACTCAAATCTATTTGACTGCACGCAGACATTTAGTCTCTGTTACTCTACTTCTGCCTACTCAGGTACTGTGTTCCCTGTTTTAGAGACTTAGTTGCCAGCTCTGTCATTAAATAACTTAAATAACTCTTTGTTATTTAAGTTTTGTTACCTGGTAGACATTGATAATACTTTTTTGGTGTCTTAGTTTATAGCGAATTTCAGAGTAGAGAGTTTGGAAATTCTGATGTAAATACTTTGTTTAAAAATGGTTGCTTTTCCTTTGTTAAAAACGTTTTAGAGAAAGAGCTGGTGATGTTGGAGACCACTGTAGCTTACTTTACAGACAATGAGCATAAATTAAATGGCTATGCAGGTAACATTTTAGGAAACTGTGCTGCCTTCAGATGTTTCATGCTGACATGGATGTGAGAATGGATGGCTCTGGTAAATGGATGACTTTTAGCAAAAGGTAGACACTGCATTTGTTTAAATTCAGTTTGATGGGGAAACAAAAGGACCCAGGTTTTCCACATCTGAAGTTAGTATTCTCATTCTCTCTGATCAGGTTGCATTGCTTTGTTTACTTAATCTTTGTTGGAGGAGCAATAAAGTGTAGTGACTGGTTGTAAATACACTCTGGAATCCAATCATTTGTGTTAGTCTAGACCCGGCTCTGCCACTTACAGGCAGTATAACTTGGAGAAAATTATTTAACTTGTTCCTTATCAGTCGTAAGGCCATAATTAGAGTTTGTATCTTAAAAGGTTATTGTGAGGATTAAATGAACTAATACACATAAAAGCATTAAAAAATTTTCAGATAGTCATTAATATTGTTATTATATTATCATCATAATGCAAATAAACTAAGCATTCAATAAATGATGGTGGTGATTACTATTATGAAAAATTCCAATATACTTTTTAATATGAATTCTCAAAGAAATTTTGAATGTATGGTAGACTTTTGTTTTTGTTTTTATTTGTGGTGCTAGAGATAGAAATCAGAAAATGCAACCACTGAGCCAGTTAATTTTTTTTACTTTTTATTTTTATTTTTTATTTTTTGGTGGCGGGGATTGAACTCATGACCTCGTACCTGCCAGGCAGGGCTTATGCCACTGAGCTAAATCCCCAGCTCCATTTTTTTTTTTCACTTTTTATTTGGAGACAAAGTCTTGTTGAATTGCCCAGCCTTGGCTTGAACTTGCAATTCTCCTGCCTCAGCCTCCCAAGTGACTGTCATTACAGGTGTGTATCACCACACCTATCTAGACTATTTTCTATGACACCTCTTAACTTTTTGAGGTACTGCTATAGATCATTTTGGGAAATATTTGGATACTGGAAAAACATGCAGTTTAGGAACTAGAAGACCTAAATTTTGGTTACAGTTTCCCTTATGATGTT